TTGCTTTTGTCTAAGCCTCTCTTTCTTTGTGTCTGTTTTTCGCTGAAAGAAACCATTAAGATGAGCTGAACAAGTCTGGAGAGGCAGAACTAACTCACATGTGAAGGTGACAGCGGGGCTTTTGTCGCCCTGCTTATTTAAGATCAAGATGGATCATTACACTTTTTCTACACAGGAGAGGAAGAGGAGGAGAGGGCGTCGCGACAAAGGCTGCAGCTGCCTTTTCTTTTTCCTCTTCTTCTTCTTTCAAAGCAGGGCGAAAAATGACATAATGGCGTTCATGCTCAGGTAACTGTCGACACTGATACCCTTGAAACTAATCCGGCCTTTGAGGTTTATTTACAAGATTTGTGGGAATACGCACGCAGGAAAATCCAAAACTATGAATTTGCGCAAATTGCTAAATACTGTTTTAAAACCACTTTGGATGATTGATGAGGCAAGAAGTGAAACGCTGGTATTTTAAGGTCTAAATTATCGGATGCCTCTCTCTTTACAACTTTACTGGCTCCACATCAAGGCTGCACAAACACATCAGACGGTGGGGCTGATGTCATCATGCTCCCATTTGGGTGGAATAACAATTTATTCTGAAAACTGAGCTTCGGGTCCTGAGGCTCAGACAAAATGAGAGGATCGAGTCCTGTTGCAGCTGGAGAATGGGGCCTGTAGCGGGAAAGAGAAAACTGATATTGGAGTTTGAAGGCCATAATTACGCCATCTTGTTGTGAAATTTATGAGTTACGAGAAACGTATGTGAACCGCCATGGAGAAAGATTGGATTTTAAATGATTCACTATCCTTCACCAACCTTTAAAGTAGAAAAAACAACTCAGTGATGGTTCCTCCCCACAGCCATCACCATTTACAATAAATCTTTGAAGAATGTTGAGTTAAAATGACTTACAACAACATTTAATTTACATTTCGGATTAAGTATTTTTTAATTTAAAATTAAAAGAAGCATTTTTTAAATTATGTTTTCATTTACTGAGAGAGAAAACCCGTTCAATTTGCTCTGTGGAAAAAGTAACTGCTCTACATTAATTAATCATAAATTAACTGTAGTTAACCACTTTTTTTTTTTGGAAAGTTGATATTATTTTAACTGATCCTGACACAACACTTTCAAAAAATCACACCAGCCTAACAAGGTGAGACCTGGTGGTGGCAGTATGATGATCTGGGCCTGCGATATTACTTCAGGACTTAATGGATGGAACAATGAACTCTGCTCTTTAGTAGAAAATCCTGAAATAAAATATCCAACCATCAGTTTTATGACAAGGCTGCAGAACAGTGATCTGATGCCAGCAAGTCTGAATGGATATAAAACAAAAAATGGTTTTGGATTGAAAATTATTCTTAGATAATGAAAAATTTTACTTCGTTTAGTTCCCCCTGTTTCGATCTCCTTTCAGAATGAGTTGTTTTACGGCCTCTTGTCATTTTAAATGACAAGAGGCCGCATTAACAGCATAAATTAGGGAGTCATCTGCATAAAGACTCACTTCACTGTATCCTTATGGAAGTAATAAGTTCTTCCAGTTTAACAAATCTTTTCATGCAATTGTACAAACTTGCTGAAATTTACTACATCTCCAGGTTTTCAAGGGTATTTTGCTCTAAAACCTTTAAAAGGACAAAGAGGACAAAAAATTATTATTTTATATTGAAAAACAAAAACTTTTTTAAGAAAATGAAAGAAAACAAAAGGATACTCTGTTATCTTATTTGAAATTAAACTGACTAATTTTTTGGCAAGCTGCTTCACATATTACTAGCAAGTAAAGCATGTGACCTCTTTTTATAGGAAAATAACTTCTGCTCTTTTGTACATCTAGGAATGCCATTTGGATTAATCAGCATGAAAGCCAAAGATCTTATCGCTTTAACCAGATTGACTGTGATTATCTCATCAAGCAGATCTCTAATTTAAAGGTTTATAAGTTGCATAATGCATGTTTTTTTCTCTTTTTTACAGAAGCAGAAACAGTTATTTACCCCCAAACTGCACAACAAAATTGACATTTTCTAAAGACGCAGAACTTAGCTCATCAGTGAGCATCGGTACAAACAGGATTTGTTCACAGTGGCTAAGTTCAGTGTCTGACATGAAAAAAATCATCTCATGCATACCTGAAGGTCCCAGCTGTCCATAAATCCCAAACCTGAGGAGAGATGGGCGGCCGTCATTAAAAAGCACCTGTACTGTAAAGAGAAGAGGAATGCTGTAAAAGTCTTTGCATGTCCAGGCAAATTATGTAGCAGTCGGCTTCTTCTGATTTATGAGGAGAAAAAGATGAATAATCAGGCAATGATGGAGAGCAAAAGGTTAAATTAAGGTGATTCGTGAATGATCGTTGTTTTTTTTTTATCACACTAAAGATGATTTCAAATGGGCATAACTGACTCACTGGGTTGAAAATGTAAAGACAGAGATGATGGAAACTAATAAAATAAAATGCAGTTTTTGCAGAGTTTAAAATAGAGCAAGTTCTTGTTACTGTCTGTGCTTTCAATTATTTTTGGGTTGTTTACTCGTGTGCCTACTGAACTGGAATCAGTGTGTCTTTGCAGAACTGGCTCAGTCCAGCAGGAACAAGAGTGACACCTAATGACAGTCCATCACTTCCGCCATCAAAGCCATCATCACAAACACACCAGAGATGACCACGGACATTTCCATTCATTTTAAGAGTCGATGATGACACAATGAAATAAAGTGTTCACGCCTCTGCCCTAATTTGTCCTCCTGTGTGGGCGAATCTGGCTGCCTCTGCAGGTACTCGTTATCATCGGCAGCTGATTTCTGCTGAGTAACACTTTGCATCGCCTCTCTTCATTCGTCATGCTATAATAAGCTGTCAGTGTGTCTGCGAGCGTCTTCGCTAAATTGGGATACAACAGCTCGACACCTCTGCAGTCATTAAATACCCGAATGGATCGGTGCTGCATTAGCATAAGCAGAAGTGATGATCATAAGACCTGCTATTGATTTTAGATAACCTGGGGGGGGGGGGGAGGTTAGGCCGCTGTGTGAACAATTACTCCTCTCCTTGAGCAAGGTTCCTGCGGATAAAATTTGAAAACTCTTTGCAACACAATCAAAAAAAAATGGAATCGCATATGCATGACCTGAATTGGCCTAAGTTACTTTTGACTGTTTGCAGTCAAAGTTCAAGTTGCAAACTGGATGCATCAGAAATGAACACTAGATAAAAAAAAAAGCTTGAGTTAATTTGAAGAGTTTAACAATAGGACATTGATAGAAAATTATTAATAAGAGACTAACAAGATGCATTTCCATTAAACATAAAATTGCACAAAATAAGGAAAATAAATTCACTTAATAGAAACCTGCCAGTTAAATTTCTTGTGTGAAGGTTTCTCAAAAAAGATGGATTGAGCAAAACTACTTTTTTACGTCACACGAGTCACATGATCGACAACTGGATGTTGCTACTGGCGAAAATGACGAAGACGATGACAGGAAGTAGTAGGATGATGGTTTGTGAAGATTTGTGGAGGAATAAGTAAATATTTGAGCCCATATTTACTTTACAATGTTGATCCTGAGTGTGTAAGAGAAAATCCAACAATAAATACAAACTTACACAGCCAGTTCTTGGTTTTAAAAATATCAATGAAGTTATAAGTGTGCAGTCACCAGTCTGGACAACTTGGGATTAACCAGCGGCTAAAAGATACACAGACACAATATGCTAATTATTTCCATGACGCTGAATGCAAATGTCCCATTTAACTACTGTTATTATTGTTGTTAATGCAAAGACGACTACCATAGATCACCACTGATGCATTACTGTAAATGACAGACTGATGAGTACAAAATGTGAACTGGCTGCACCACAAAAAACATTTGCATGATTCCACCACACACCTCACTCAAGCAAATTTTTGTCCTTTTTATGTTACTGAAAATTTGCATGCAGACACCTCTGTGACACGTGCAAATTAAAACTTGGTAAATTTGTATTGCAGAGTTAATGTTTTGGGGTTTTTCTGACATTTCCAAATTTGAAAACAAAACAAAACATGGACAACCCACAGTTAATTATCACAGTGGTTTTCTGCCCACTGGCCCATAACGTCCCGAGTTGAGGTCAGCAACACACCATTCCCACTATAAACAGTGTTGGTGCTGCACTGCTTCCCCCTCCTGAGACACCGGATGGTGGACCAGAATTTCCTCGAAGCCATGCAGAAGTCCTTCTCCATGGCCTCTCCAAACTCCTCCCATGCCCAAGATTTTGCCTCAGCAACCACCCGGGCCACATGCTGCTTCGCCGCCGGTACCCATCAGCTGCTTCTGGAGTCCCACAGGCCAAAAAGGTCCAATAGGACTCCTTCTTCAGTCTGAGAGCATCCCTCACTGAAAGTGTCCACCAACAGGTGGTTCAAGGGTTGCCGCTGCAACAGGCACAACAACCTTGCGGCCACAGCTCCGACAAGCTGCCTCGACAATGGAGGCATGGAACGTGGTCCACTCAGACTCAATGTCCTCCACCTACCTTGGAACCTGTTCAAAGTTCTGCCGGAGATGGGAGTTAAAGCTCCATCTCTCAGGGGATTCCACCAGACGTTCCCAGCAGACCCTCACAGCACGTTAGGCCTGACAGGCCTGACCAGCATCCATCCCCACCACCGGAGCCAACTCACCTCCAGGTGGTGGTCGGTGGACAGCTGTACACCTCTCTGTTCTAATTTATTCATTTTTATATATTTATGTATTTATTTTTGTCTATTAGTTTGTTCAGTCTTTGTAAGCGTTATTTTATGTATTAACTTATTTATTTTTATGTATTTATTTATGTTTGTTTGTCTGTTCAGTCGTTAAAAAGAAATCGGAGTTCCTGAGCTTTGACGATGTTGTAATACCTCCGGGGACCAGACGGGGGCGCGCTAAACCCACCACTCACCTTTACCAACCTGCACCAAGGGCATTTATTATTTCGCCTCGGAGTTTCTATTTAGTGATTTTTACGGTGACGGTGGCCGCCTCGTTGCTTTTTGTCTTTACTTTTTATCATTTTTAAGTTTGTGGTGTTTCCAGGTTCACTGAGGGCCAAATTATCCATTAATTCCCACCTCGTCAGCGGATGTATGCGCGTTTGTGTGTGTGCGTTGCGTGTGGAGAAATGTAGGAAGTAACGATAACTTTCCGCCAAAGACGACGAGAAGACGTAATCCTGCATTTTTCACAAGGAAAAGGGCATTTGCAGTTGGAATTACGGCCATAAATATAGACTAAACCTCCTTTTTCTAATCATTGGGAACTCTTTATTCGCTTTTGAGTTCGTATTTGGGCTTGTTTTTTTCTTTTCTTTTCTATTTTTTATTTCAAGTGATGTTTTTCCCCTGAAGTGGTGGGACAGGAGTTAGTCAACGTCACACAGCAGTGCAGGTATCTTTATTTTTCTCCCCTGCCAGTGTGTTTTCCAGCTTGCAAAGATGGAATGAGACACTTTCCTTAAAGGTAAGACTTTTTGACATTTAGCTCCTCTTTGACACCTGTTGCTGTTCGCTGTTTGCCACGGACAGATGTCTGTTTTCGGGATTATGTTGATTATGGTAGGATTAATGGTTTCCCTGGAAAGTGTGCGGATACTGAAAGTGTACAAAAGGTAAACAAAATGAATAAGGGCTTACAATAAACTCAGCTTTCACTGTTGTTTCTTAGTCTTCCTGAAAAATCTGCATCCTAACTAGTTGTTCCCCGTCATTTTCTGTTTGCCTGGAGTTCAGGTATGACGTGACACACGTTAACCTGCTGGTTGTTTGGGAGTCATGAGAAAAAACTGCAAAATTCCACATGTGGATTTGGAGGAGATAATTAATCTGGGATTGGGTGATTTGGTTGGTTTGAGGTTTTCAGCAACAGACAGTGTTAGTTCAAAACAAACTATGCAGACAAGCACCTCAGGCCTACAGTTAGGCATGGTGGAGGCTCTGTGACTCTGTGGGCCTGTTGGTCTTTTGCATGCAGTTGGAAATAAATAAAACCCTGAAAACGTGGCTTCTTAAAAGTCACGGTGGGTCACAGTGGGCATTTAAAACAAAAGGTAAATTTATATAGATTAGCCCCTTGTTAAGTATAGTGTAAGATGTGTGATGCTGTGGGCCACTTTTATTCTAACGTTTCCATATTGTTATGGAAACATGGACATTAATAGACATTAAAAACAAACTCAAAGCAGGTTGTCAATATTATGTTAATAATCCAAATTGATGTGCAAAGTAGCAGAAATGGTTTATCGTGCACAAAAGAAATTACAAAAAGTTAGTCCTTAGGTAGAGCCAAAAGAAAACCTCAAGGGTGAAGAGTTTAGACTCCAAAGATCAAGAACTCTGGACTGTCTGGAGCAATGGTTGTGAAGCGTTTTTGTCAAACTGTGGCCTTGCATTTGGGCTTATATTCATCATTAAGTGAAGCATAAAAACAACACAAACTACATCAATAAAATCTACTTCAATTTTAGGAATTGAAGTAGAAATTTTATGAGAACTCTTACAAAACAAAATAATATATTTTTTCTAAATAAAAGCTTTTTTTGTTGTTGTCATTTTCAGACATTTTTTTTTTAGTAAAATTAGTCTTTATTCTACTAATATTATGACTAAATTCTCTTGATTAAACTAAAATTCTCATAGCCAAACCCAAATACGCTGGCATACAACTCAATAATAAAATATAAGCCATTTTATGCCTTTAATCATTTTGTGTCATTTGTAATTTCATTTTCTGTAACGAAAACAGAAAAAAAATCAGATAGAATCGAACATAAATATATTTGTTTCTTATGCTTCAATAAGATCATTACGTTCTTGCAGCCTCGCTTTGAGAGCTTTTGCATCATCTAAGCAGAAATGTGTTTTCTTTCATGTTTTCTTGCCACCGTTAGATAAAAATTCAGCAGTGAAATGGACCTATGAAGTTTGCAGTCCAGTTCATGTGAAGTATGAAATCTCCTGGTTGAATGAACCGAGAAAGGAGTCGTCCGGAAATGAGTTCCAGATAATTCTTGCCATGTCCTCTCCCTCTAGTAGGAGTCCTTCTGTGTTGTTACGCAATTTGATTTAATTAAATCTTGCCAAACTGGATTTGTGTGAAATCTGCCATCCATGTCAGAATTGCCATTGGCATCCACCAGTGTAGATGTTTCCACCAGTGATTAAACCATTCATTTATTGTAAGTCGCGGTTTCTATGCAAAGCCATTCAGTTGCAATCAAAGATCAATTAATTTATTTATTTAACGACTTTTTACATTTATTTTCCAGAGTTTCAGTTTGAGGCTGGACAGTAAATAGATTTTATTGATTAATCAAACTTTTGGTTTTTGGAAATTGCCTTTTCTTTTTTCACCAATGGACTTCTTGGGTTTCCATAGTTCTGTGACGTCAGCAGCACTCCCAGCTTTGGCATCTCGCTTGGCAGGATTTTTTTTTATTACAGCTTCTGGTTATTTGGACTTTGAATTCAGGTGAACTCTGCAACAAAATATAACAGTCAGGCTACATTTTTCTTGTTTTATTACAAGAATAAAATCCTAATCTTAGCTGAGTAAAGTAATATTAGGAAAATAAGTAATAATTTCATTAGAACTCTAACAACAAATTATTTATCTAAATGTTTTCTTATTAAAACTACTTTTTGGGAATTTTAAGACGTTTGTCTGGTAAAATTATTCAGATAATATTATAACTATATTCTCCTAATTAAACTAAAATTTTCATACAACTCATGGCAGAGATGACTGAAGTAAACTGAAAAGAAAACGATGAATCGGAGCTGGTATGAAATAATCTTATTTTTTAGCTAAATTGCTCATTTCTAATTTAGTGTCATAATCTAAATGCAAAATGAATGCAACAGCAATAAACGATGTATTTATTTAAAGGTTTTTTACTTCATCCAAATGTTTTCCCAGATACTCTCATATTTTTATTGACTTATTTTAACTAAAAACGTTGTTTTATTGCTACGGTGTGTGATTTTCTGCAGTGCCTGGTGGGCTGTGAGTTATGCAGAAGCCCGTCTCTGGATCAGGATGAGTGCTACAGATGGAGCTGGGACCCCTGAGCACGACGAAGATGCCCGTGTGGTGCAGATCTACCCCAGGCTTCCTCTGATGACAGAAGCCTACTGTCCCCTGCAGGTCAGCATCAAGGACACGGTGAAGACTGTGATCCACAATGCTGTGGTCACGCTGGGCCTGGACTCCAGCCAGAGCTACAGCCTACTGGAGGTGAAGGAGAGCGGCGGCGAGGAGACGCTGCTGGACGATGGGGACCGCCCTTTGGTGTGGGTCCTGCGTTGGCCGCCGGCGACCCAGAAATGGCACCCTCGGAGTCAGGGCTACTACTTCGTCCTGCAGCAGAGCAACAACGTAGCGAAGGAAGTCGTAACGTCTCAAGAGGAGATTGACGACCTCTGTAGCCTCCCGTCTGTGACCGAGGAGGGCGTGCTGCAGGTCTTACGCCAGCGCTTCTGCAAGCACAAAATCTACACCTACATGGGCGACATCCTCATCGCCGTCAATCCCAACAAGTTTTTACCTCTTTATTACAACCCAAAGTACGTGAGGCTGTACAAGAACCAGCCGCTGGGCAAACTGAGCCCGCATATATTTGCCATTGCCGACGTGGCGTTCAGAACCATGTTGGACCGGCAGGCGAACCAATGCATTCTGATATCTGGAGAGAGCGGATCAGGGAAGACTGAGAGCAGCAGCTACCTCATCCACTGCCTGACCACACTCAACCAGGGGACGTACTCCGGCGGACTGGAGCGAGCCATTCTGGGGGCCGGGCCGGTTCTAGAGGTAGGACACCAACATACAAGCCTTTTCACAGGCTGGACAATAAATCAATCTTATCATTTAATTGAATCTTTGGTTCTTGACGGTTTAACTTTTGAACAAAAATAGTTTTTTCATTTTGAGTGATGTCAGCCAAATAGAAGCTGCATTTTCTACAGCTTCTATTTGGATTTTGAGGTCAACTCTGTAACAAAATCATTTGTTCTGTTCATATATTAAAACAACATTCCCTGTGGGATTAAGAAAGTATCTTTGGATTTAACTTTTTGTTCACGAGAATAAAGTCAGATGAATACAGCTCTGGAAAAAATGAAGAGTCTACTGCACTGAACTTCATTGAAAACCTCATGATTATTCCACCAAATGTTGATTTCTGAATTCTTCTTGAGTTAAAACATTAGTATTGTTGTCCATCCATCCATTATCTGTTCACCCTTGTCCCCAGTGGGGTCAGGAGTTGCTGGTTAGTATTGTTGTTTCTAAATGAATATGAACTTGTTTTCTTTGCATTAGTGAGGTCTGAAAGCACTGCATCTTTTTCCTTATTTTGACCATACATATTATATTTTTCAGAGACATATTGTCAGCAGTTCATAGAGGAAAAGAACAATATTCATTTACTCAAACATGTACCTATAAAGAGTAAAATCAGAGGAACTGATCATTTTAACTTTTTCTGTATAGTCATAGTAACTCCAGAATAAAGTCAGGTTTTCTCTCAGTGCATTATAAGCCTGGCGGGCCACCAGGCATTAATTTTCCCTCCACCAAGCTTAGCATTGCTTAATTATTTAATTTCCTTTCAAATGTTTTCATTTTTAAGACTTTACAGTTGGTGTTTCAATCTTTCAGTCGCACATAATTATCAAATGATATTTTCTGTCAACTCTATAGATTTTGTAACTCATAAACTGTTGGACGGATCACTGCCACCAAGCTTAGCAAGTTTTCTGGGGAAAACTTTGAAAGTCATTTGACAAAATCAAAGTAATATGATAATAAAGTTTTTATATTATCAGAATAAAATGGTAATATTAGGAGAATGAGATAGAACTCCAACACAAAAATAATTATCCAAGCTTTTTTCTCATTAAAGCGAAGTTTTAATAAATTATTCTGGTTAAATTGCATCTTTATTCTGCTAATATTATTTATAACATAGTCATAATATTAGCAGAATATTATAGTAATGCTTTGTCACACAGGGATAAAAGCCACTTTGTGAAAATATTTTCTGTCAAATTGTAATTTATTTTTTACAAAAGAAAGTGAGGAAAAATGGGAAATGTGATTTGGAATGAATAACAATCTGATATTTAAACTTCAAGCCATTTCACCCAGTCCTTCCTGGATGTAAAATCTGTAGGAGTCAGAAATATTCATGTGATATTAGTTTGAAGCACAGAATAATAAACAATGTGATCAATAAGGCTCTCTGCTCAGGGCTCCACACACCAAAGGGCATCACATGCATTTATACAGACTGTCCACACGTCCTTACAAAACTCATGTATCAACAATAAAGCCAGTTCATGCTTTTCTGAAAGTAAACTGGGCTTAAACACATTAATCACATGTCTTACATTTTGTCACTGCTGGACTCTTAAGTCTTGTAGATTAGTTTTGTTAGAGAAAAGTTTGAGTGATGCGCAGAGATCTTCACCTTGCTGTGTGGCTGGTTTGGGCTACTGGTAATAGCTGCTAATCTTTGCTAGTTAGCTAACTCGCTTTTTTATGTGCATCATGAGCAACTTTCTTTAGCACATTTCTGTTGCAGCGCTTACATTTAATTCGGTTTTGAAGAGTCTTACGTTTGTGTTGGTGAAACCTGCTTTAATTTTAATTTCACCATTTAGCACTAAAATACATTTGGTGATTAGACAAGCATAAGAATAAGCAATATAATCAAAATTAGCTTTAATTGACTACAAAAAACAAGATTAACAACAAGCTGTCAGTGGATAATGTTTCTGATAAGTTTTGTCACAAAAATTGCTGTTATTTTGTGTATTTGGTTGTTTGTGGTTCAGTTTGTGGGTTTGGTTCTGATTCAGATGGAAACTTGAGAAATTTTTATCATAACTGTTTTTAGAAAACCTGCAAATTGTGCTAATGTTTGCATAAAAGTAACTAGGTCTCTTCTTATGTTGTAAACTGCTTCAAATATTTTAATCTGGCTTAATGGCGCGTGAATCAGATCAGCTGAACATTTGTTCCTGTCTTAGTCAATACACATAATCCGGAAAAACAAACAAGCTGTTGACTTTCATGGGAAACATTCTCTGGTTGCAGCTCTGTTAAGATTTTATCACTTGTTGAAATGTTAGAGGCATTTCATTCCCACAGAACTAAGAACAAGCTCAGAGTAAATCAGAAAATCTGCTTCTGCTACAAGTTACAGCGAGAAATAATGAAGTTAGGTTTTCGTTTTGGACTCATATCGGTAAAGTCAAGCCTGCAGAGTGTGATTCACTATAGTATGACTTCACTTATCAGCAGATCACCTTGTGGTTCTTTTTTTTCTGCTTTGTACCAGCAGTTAAGATATGCCTGTACTAGTCTCTTTTTGAAAAACTTGCTATTTGAGTCTTGAAACAGAATCTTGCAAATATATAATTTGGTCCCCTCCTATTTAATAAAATCATTAGTGAACTAGTGAATCATTAGTCAATCTGTTGCATTCATGGGAAATGAAACAAGTTGGTAAATAAATGAGGCAAATTTGTTCATTTGAAATATTCTGTGAAAAAGTCTTAAACCACCTCTAATGTCTGTACTTTGCCCCCAGTGATATTTCGGGTTTTGTCCGTTTTTGTCCCAGATTTCGACAGTCTGCTTAGAAAATGAGGATCTGGACAAAGTTGAGGACAAAAGAGGAAGTGTTGCACATGAAAACAGTCTAAAGTAGACAAAAGTTCAAAAAAACAGTTCACAAAAGCAACATTATTTCTGTTAATCTCTGTTATATAAGCCACATTTCCAGCTAATTAATGTTTGGGAATCTATGAGGCAAATTAGGCTGTTTTTGGTCTTTTTTAGACTAATTAAACATAACAGGACATTTGTGCTTTTATGTGCTTATATGAGACTGCAAGCATCCCCTTACAGACTTCATTGTGTTTTATTAGTTTTCATCGCTAAAATCACTAATGCACATCAAATATGTTGATCAAAATTCTATTTATGATTGCTTAAAATCAACTCTACCCAGGTGGGTTCTTAGTCTTGATTTACAGCTCAGTGTTTCAGCTGTTTTTCAGTTTTCAGGATGTTTGTTCCATATTTAAAGAGCATAGAAGCTGAACAGTGATATTTTCTTTTCCCAGTCTGTCAGTTTAAGTGGAAAGTAACATTTTATTAGGTTTGCAGTTGTGTCAGTCATAAACAGTGGTTTCAGATTTTAAAACTACATATTGTCATCATGATGTTTTTTATTCAGTAATGTGCTCCATTAAACCTCTGAGGCCTTCACAGAAAAGCTGAATTATGCTGAGATGAACACAGTTTGACTTCATTTACTGGTTTGATCATTTCTAAAAGTTTGGCTGCACTTGATTTTATTTAGAGGAAGTAATATGTATGTCAGATTTTTAAGATTTTTACGTGTAGAACTTTATTTGACTTTTATCTCCATTTTAAAATATGCATGGTAGACTTTCACTGGTAGACAGCAGTAGAAGTTGTGGTTACAACCTGATGAGACGTGAAAAGGTTCAAAGGTTGTGAATGTTTTTATTCTAGATACTGCAATCATAAACCATCAACTTAAAAAGAAAGTAGGTCAACAAGCAGAAGCTATTCCTCTGAAAAAGCGCTTTCTGGATGATTTAATATCGACAGATTTCTAGTTCTTGAGTTTTCTGTGAAGACATTTCCGGCTCCTTGTCCCAAATGTTGTTTAGTATCGACTCTCCAAAACGTCCCTTCAGGTTAGGCTGTTATCTGTACCGACTCAATGGCGGATAAATCTAAGTTGTGCTACTTTGTCTTTGTCAATGAGTAACTGGTTCAAATTTCTCACACACTGTTTCAGTCACCTATTTTCTCTGATGACTGATTCAGAAATGGGGCCAAATTTAATTCTTAAATTAAATGGCATACATGACAAAATGTGACTTTATTTTGGTTTAATTGAAGGAAAAACATATTTTTTATTGACGCTTGTTGCCTGAGAATGGATCCACGTATTGAAAGCGAGGCTTTAGTTGGTTTCACTTCATTTAAACTGTGGTATTGGGGAACAAACTAGTGGAGTTGCTTTAGTAACAGTTTCATTCATGTTGCTGCTTTTGACTCTTCACGTATTTCTTCCACACCTATTTCCACAGGAGTAGGTGTGGAAATACCAGAAATTCGCCCCCTCAGAGTTTTGTGCTTTATCTTTCCATCTTAACAGATGCAACAGAAAAGACTGATTTGGTTACAGATTGCACACTTCCTCCTTCCCAGAGAGCCCAGCTATTCTTCACATGGTGACAAAAGATGGATTCTCTCTTCAAAAACAAGTTCTGCACGATTCGACTTGGAAAAACCCACCGTTTAAGATTTGTTTCACTTGTTCTCAGCTCATCTCCTTAAAGCTTAGAGAGATTAGTTTAGCTTTTAAGATGTTTAATGAGTGAAAAGTAATCTGAGATGATTGTTTTTCATAAAAAATGTTAAAACAGTGCGATGGTTCTGCTTTCTTGCTCCTTTTTTAACATCTTTGGATTTCCTTTGCATGTATGAGTCAGTCTGCAGAACCAGTTCCCAGTTATCTGAAACCTAATCTTCATACTTTCTTATTGTTTCCATGTCATCTTGATATCACTCTCTTTTAGCCTTCCTATTGATGGATATCTGACCTTTCTTTCCACCTTCTCTACCCATTGAAAAAGTTATTAATCGATAATGAAGTCGATTTTCTACCTGGACTAAACAAAGCGTGTGTTTACATGTGTTAACTGGGTGAATTAATGCTTTACTTTTGCGTTTGTGAAGCTTCACAGAGGGAATTTGCAGGGCGTTGTCTTTGAGGGAACACCAGAGCGAGAAGAGAAACAGAATCGTGTCTGAACAGGCTTAGCCAGGTCTGCTGGCGAACCCATATAAGCAAGAATAAATCAACTCCCTTCTCTCTTCGTACTTTTTAAAAACTGTCCAGCTGTTGCTTTTGTCAAACAGAACTTAAATCAGCCAGCGTGAGATTGTAGATTACTAATAATGGGATTTTCCCGACAGATTTCTGCACCATACTAATTAAGCTCGTTTTGGAAACAGAATAATCATATTTCATCGACAGCAGTCAGATTTTGAAATGCTTTTTGGTTCAGCAGCACAGTAAATACATCAGTGGGTCTTCTCCTGCTACTGCTGCTGCTGCAGTTTTTATTGGAAATATAATCTAGATTACCATTTAGGCTCTCTGGGCGATGAATGTAATTACTAATATTTATTGTTTAATGCAGCAGAAAATGTGTTTTTAAGGGCAAAAATATGTGCTGGATCTTTTTGCAAAATCAGCAGATGTTCCCAGACGCAACTATTTAATTCAAATTAATTGAAATTATGAATTACATTTTTTTCTACCTCTACTACCTCTGTAGTTGCGTTGAATTAAAAGCAGAAACACTGTTTCATCAAATATTTGTGTAATTGAAAGTCAAATTGTCATCACAAACTTCTGCACCGCTTATCTCAATTCAAGGTTTTATCGTTTTTTTGTCAATCATTCTACTTTTAAGGGCTTGTTGTACCAGAATATATTGATAAAACCCATTAACAAACCATTAAAATGTTAGTAAATAGCTGCCTCTGCATTCAATCAGTACTTCTTAAATAACACTGAACATCTTGTCGCATTGATCATTCTCCAGGATTTTGCGATTGATTCTTTGCAATCAAAATCACTGATTTTGTGAAGTTGATTTAAAAATAATTGCAAGGCATGACGTTAAATGTGACTTTTTGTTACTCTTCACATTGACTATGGAGTATAATTTGACATAAAGGCTGAGGCAGCAGAGTAGAAGTAAGAAATACTGCCACCTGCAGGTGGAAGATGGCATGACTTAAATTCAATAGATTTGAACATTTTTGCTGAACATTTTGAATAACTTAAGCATTAGCGAGAAAAAAATGTGGGAATCTGTTGATTTTCTTAAGCTACTTTCTGTTTATCTTAATCTATGTTTTATGTGTTTCTGCAGGCATTTGGAAATGCAAAGACAGCAGAAAATAACAACTCCAGCCGCTTTGGAAAATTCATCCAGCTCATCTACCTGGAAAGTGGCGTCATCAGAGGGTAAAACATCATGTGCTTCCTTATAAACACTGCAAAAATACAAAATCCTGCTAAACATTTTGGTCCAGTTTCTAGTGCAAATGTCTTAGCACAAGTAACTTCTCAGCAAGATATGAGTTTGTCAATAAATTCCTCAATATTGATGAAAAATACAAGTTCCACTGGCAGATTATTTCACTTGTGATATGGAAAATCATTAACAAAAACAATCACTTTTTTCTGACTGAAAAATTTGTGTACTAAATCACGTGTACTAAGATATTTGCACTAGAAATAGTTTTTGCGGTGAAGATGGTGGATTTTACATAATTTCTCAGTGAGTGGCTTTTATTTATTTCTCTTTTTGTGCATAATTTACAGAGCTTTTGTTGAGAAGTTTCTGCTGGAAAAGCACCGCCTGGTGTCCAGAGCTAAAAATGAAAGGTATAAAATATAAAATCTTTGAATAATCAACTCAGATTATGATCCAAATATCATTTAGGTGGTACATTTCTTGTCATATCTGTGTAACATTGATATGTAAATGAATCCACCACGTTTAGTAGGAATGTAAATGATGAAAGTTAAATGTCTTTTGCGGCGCTTGATCCTCAGGAACTTCCATGTTTTCTACTGTTTGCTGATGGGCGCGTCTAAAGACGAGCGGGAAGAATTTCATCTACTCAACCCACAGGATTATGTTTATCTCAACCAGGTACTTTTGATCCACTTGCTTTACTGCTGCAGAGAAAGAGAAAGTGATGAGCTAATATAAGACACAATGATGAAACCTCTGCTCTGTCTGTGATTTCTTATCAGCATAATGACTTAAATGCTTCACGGACGCTGTAAATTAACACTAAAATTGTTTAAAATTGAAACATAATTAAGCTCAGTCTACTCTAGATGAAGGATTTAGCTTAACACATTTCTGAAAGTCTAAAACATTTGTTCCTCTTTCATAAATTGAAAAGTATTTATTTTGTTGAACTACCAAAATGTATGCACTTTGTTGGTATATGTGATAAGTCAACACTAAATGGTGCATAAGGATCAAATGGAAACAATTCATACGTAATTTTAAATTGTTAAAATTTTTGTTTGTAAATAAAAATCTGAAAAGTGTGGCATTAATTTATAAATAGATAGATGGATACTGGACTGTGTCAAGTAAATAATTTAGCTTATTAATATACGGCTAAAGACGTGTTTTATATTTCTATGATTGATAATAACTATTCATAAAACCTTATTTATTGACAATACATCTTAACATGACAGGCATAAAATATTGCCTTGTTTGTAGGTTTAATAAAGTTGCTGGTTGAATCTCCTTTTTTTTTACTTTAAAAGTTGTACAAAATATCTGAACATTTTTCAAAATTACTAATAAAATAATTTTTTATCTTCAACTGAAATCTTTTAGGAAGAAAAAGTTCATTTAGTTAAATATTTTCCTCCAGATTTTTCTATTGATTGGTCCTCAGTTATGTCTTAAATAAATAGGAATGAACAAAAACAAGCAACTTCACCTTATTTTGTTTTACTTTTATATGCACTGCCATTCCTGGGAATTTCCCAGTGAATGCTGAGCGATTACTGGTAGTTTGCACTGGTCAAATGGATGAACTGTGCACGAACACATTGTTTCTGATTGTTTTTTGTTTGTGCACTTTTTCTGCAGGGGGAATTTAATTTGAAAACGGAGGACGATCTAAAACAGGAGTACAAAAGACTTCAGCAAGCTATGGAGATGGTTGGCTTTTTGAGCGCCACTAAAAAACGGTGAAAGTGGTTATTATCACATTACATATTTGAAATGCCACAAAGATTTATTTAGCAAAGATTCCCAGAGTTCTGACAAAAAAAAAAAAACTATGAACATCAGATGAAATACTTCAAATTTCATTTTTAAAGTCGTCTTTGAAAACAAAAATGTTTTGCTTTGGTGTTTTTTAAGACCATTTACGCTAGTTGAAAGCTCAGTTGATTACTTTCAAACATAATTCATAACAAAATGTGGAAAAATGCATTGACTTTTGCAGTAACACTCAAACATATGCCGTTTCATACTTTTTTCACCTCTCGTTTAAAGTTTACACCTGTCTGCCAAGTGAAGTGTAATTGAAACTAAGCTCTATCGAGTAGTTTCTGCTTTCTATACTGGTGTCGGTTACATGTCTGAGCCTGTTGCTGTCGAGAGCTGGAAAAATGCAGCACATATTCCAGCCAGCGCCCCAGAATGCCTCAGGACACAACGTGCATGAGCTGCATAGTTTGTTACGTGTTCAGGGTTGATTTCCTGGTGAATATTCACACACAGCAACATGGAGGAGGAAGATTAAATATTCAAGCTTTTATTAATCAGAAGTGGCTATGTGTTCCCTAATGGATGTTGTACATATATTAGGTTTGAATAATATCAATGTCAAATCTATTTATACAGCTCTTAAGAAACAATAACAATAAAATAAGTTTATGAAAAGATAAATAAATAAGTAAGCATGGATACAGATTGCTCTGAGCTTTTACACCACTAGAGGCTGTCATAGTTCCTACTTACCTGAAAAGATGAGTTCTGCAGTAAGTTTGGAGATTTGTACTTAAATAAACTGATGTTTTATTCACTAAATAGTTCTTAAATAGTTAGTTGGTCCTAAATGAGATTTTAAACAAGTTAAACTGAATAAAGCGAGGTGAAAAGTTTGTCTTGTAGGCAGTGAGGGGCAACTGATAAGTCAGTGTTGTATTATCATTTGATAAATTAATTGATCATTAAACATTTATACAGAGTCAAAAGACTATCTCACTCAGGATATCTTAAATAATTCAGATGAATTCATCTGTTTTCACAATTAGAATGAAGACAATAAGTCTTAGATTGGAAACGATGAACTGTGTTGAGCTCAGATTGTCTGGGTTCTGTGTAACTTCAGAAAACTCAGAAGTCTAAAAACGTAAATCCTCTCAAGATGGTGGAAAAATGTTATTTGGGAATCCCCTCCATTTTTGTAGATGCAGAAAAGACGACTTTTGGGGTTACAATTGAGATTAACTGCTGGGAAAAAGTTGCGTCACTCCAGAACTTTCTGATAGCTCATTAAAAAACTTAAAACCCACATTACACCTTGATAAGGACAACAGACCCATACGCAGCTGACAGTCATTCAACATGTTTGTGTTATTTCCACTCTGAATTTCTGTTTTTGCTTTGCAGCATTTTCTCTGTGGTTTCTGCCATCCTGCTCCTGGGAAATGTGACGTACAGTCAGTCAAAGGACACTGAAGTCCTGGAGGCTGGACCTGCAGAGGTTTTATCTTCACTGTCACACTTGCTTATGGTAATACTGATCACACTATACTCAGGAGTTTATTATGGATACATACAATAATCCTGCATTAAATTTAGAAAATCTCTGTCACACCGCTGTATTTCTCTTGCATTTACCTTTTTACGAATCTTAAACTGCTGCAAACTGAATTTAATTAGTTCACAAGCTAAACTGGGCTGCAACTTATTCTAGAATATTTTTTGACATATCAAAAAAATATGTGGATTTGCATCGAAACTCAGATATGAAATATAAATAAAAAAAATATGCCTCCTCTGCTGGGTTTAATGTAGCAGCAAAAACACAACAATAGATTTTCTTAACCTCATTGTGCAAAGATTCACTCACCTCAACATGCCAAATTCTTGGGGTAGCAGACACAGAAAGGGAGTTTGACCTATTTTTTTTAATCAAGTTTGTTCATAATTATTTGACCACTTCAGAGGAACAAATATACAGATACAAATAATTACTCTTTATACTCTTTACTGGAACAAGCTGGGCATTTCCCCCTCCATCCCAGTAGTAAACATTTTTAACATTCGGGGCAAGAACGCATCAGAAGTGCTGTAATAGTTGTTAAAAGTGACAGAAAATACTTTTTCACGAAACGTTCATCGGTCCTTCATGTCTGGACTCGGGTTGGGTATTTATCATTTATCGAGAATGATTTCTTATAAAAATTTTCATTTATTGTCATCTCGATAAATTTCAGTTAATGGTGAAGAACTGACATTAATAATGGAAATGCTATATTTTTCTTTTTTCGCCACCATTTGATCCATGAGATCATCAGTTAATACCAGTAAATTGGAAACGTCGTGCAGTTTAGTGATATAAATTACACTTCTTTTAGTAAGTGGTATCCTAAAGAATCCCATTTCATTGGGAATGTTTCAGTATTTGCATTTGCGTTTGAATTTTGTGTCAAAAGAAGTAATTAATAGTTTACAAGCTAATTTGTGTCATCTGTTTTGTTTTATCTGCAGGTGAAAAAGGAGCAGCTGGTGACGACTTTAACCAAGAAGAAGGTAGTGACTGCAACCTCCACTGTGGTTTCATCCTACACACTACAAGAGGTAACTACTTTGAATTCAGGAAGATCCTTTATTACCTGTAACTAAACTATTATGGCCATTTGTCTTTTCGGTTTTATGGTGTTGCCATATGTTTAATTTTCCTTGTTTCATTTCTAGGCCATGTCAGCTCGTGACTCCATGGCAAAGAGTTTATACAGCGCTCTGTTTGACTGGATCATCCTTCACATTAACCACGCAATGCTCAATAGACGGAACATGGAGGAGTCCGTCTCTGTGAGTCAAAAAAAGTTCAATCTTGCTCTCTGACCTTTCAGTAAATGTTTGTAGATGATCTGAAGATTATCAAAGCGATCTGATATTTCGTTATTTTAAGAGCTTCTGCTGTGTTTTCAGTGTTTGTCCATTGGTGTCCTGGACATGTTTGGGTTTGAGAACCTCCAGAGAAACAGTTTTGAGCAGCTGTGCATCAACTACGCCAGTGAAAAGCAGCAGTTTTACATCAACCAGAACATCTTTAAGTTTGAGCAGGTTGGTCTTTTTTTCCTATTATTATTTTTATATCGACACAATATAACATTCACATTTCTCCTGCTTCTGCAGTTAAATTTTTTTTAAGTTGGTTTAAATTAATTTTGTGGGATTATTTGCTTGCCATTTTATTAACTTTTAGGAGGTCTATGTGTCAGAAGGCATAACCTGGGAAAACATCAACTTCACTGACAACAGTGACTGCATCCAGGTGATCAGTGACACATCAGTAGGACTTCTCCACTTATTGAACAAGGAGAGCAAGTAGGTGACATTTTACATTAGAAACCACTATTTAACGATTTGGAAATGGGGAGAAATATGCTTTGGTGGAATAAAATATTGAAATGTGAAGGGATTTGCTCATAAACATCAACCTCTGGTAGTTTTGAAAATCAACTGGAACAAAAACACAGCTGCGTTGCATAAGAAGCAGTGCTGTGCATGCAAAACATTGTGTTATTTTAGCAAAATTGTTCTTTTGACTCAAAATCATGTTAACGTTAAGGAGTCTTAAGACTTGAAACGTGCAAAATGCTGGTTAAAAATTATTTAAAATGTTTGACTGCTTTTAATGTCAATAAAGTTTTTCCATTAATCATTTAGCAAAAATATAAATTTATATAAGAGTACCCTTTTACATCTTTTTCTTCCTGGATATCTCGTTTTATACTAGATAAAGTTGGTTGAGCAAAATTAAGTTAAAATCTAAAATGCAGCATAGGACCAATTTTAACCAGTTCAGTTTAAAACTATTGGGTGAGATTTTATACTTTTAAATATGGCTGCAGGTTACTTAACTAAACAAAAATTAAAGGCTTAGGAAACTTGAAAGCTAAGCAAGAGCAGGTTGCAGCAGGACTTGATAATCAAGTTTTTTAAATATTCAGTTCGGGGTTTAACTTTAATTTCATGCATGACTCAGAAATCTGTCTAACTGAGTTTTCTGTTGCGGTTTTATTCATTTCTTTGGCCTTGTTCGCTTTCTCAGATATTGTATAGGTAATGGTGTCTATTTTTCTTTTATTTCCGTCTCTCTCAGGTTCCCTCGGGCCCCAGATGAAACCCTGCTGGAGAAGTTTAAACAGCACCATCAGAGCAACCCTCGCTTTGGGGTCTCTCCCTTTGTGCAGGAAACTTTTACCGTTGTACACTACGCTGGGAAAGTTAAATATCACATCAAGGTGAAACTCCCCCAATGCAAACATTTCTACATTCCAGTTGAGATAAAATCTTGTCATTCAGCAACAGGAAGTTAGTGTGTAGGAAAATATCCAGAAAATTTCAGATAAAGCGATTGGTTGTTAAACAACACGTCTCAGGTTGACTTTACGACAGACACATTCAGGTTCATGGTATTTATTCTAACAAAAAAAAAAATTTTGGTGGTTAACATTAGTCCAGCAGCTTCTGCCTCTTTACATTAAATAAAATATAATAAGTAACCTTAAACAAATTACAAAGGAGTATCTCCCAATGTGCATTTTGGTTAACATTTGTAAAATTAGACATAGCTAAAATAGATAACATTAATAATGACAACAGTAAAAATCATATACAAAATATAGCAAAATTGCTCATGAAACACTGTGTATTATAAAAATTTGTCTACAAAGTATGTGAAGTATAATACTGGTAAAGAGCTGATCCTGATACATATCAATTACAGCAGCAGACAAAGGGGGAGGAGCTATTACTTTTTACCATAGTAACCACCAAGTACCAACAGCAGAGTAACTGGGTTTCAGCCAATCAGTGCCGAGAAAAATAAATGGAGCTTCCGGATTGGCTGCTTTGCAAACTTCAGCGCCAGGATTGGGCTAAGCAATACCAGCTTTATAAGCTGCATTTTTGAAAGTATATTTTATGCTAGGTTAAAAAAAAAATCAGCGAATAAATGGATTTTATTTTATTTGGACTTAAAATCCGCAAAAACTGAACAGTGAATACGGAGAAGTTCACTGTGATTCTTTTTAAAAGTCGAGAAAAAGTGAACATAAAAAAATCTCCCAATATTCCAGAATGTAATGAAAAATAATTTTGGTAACCATACCAAATCTAAAACAGTAAAAGTTCAGTTTTCCTTTGTGACTGCTTCACACATCGCATGTAAACTTCAGATTTTAACTGTATATTTTGATGGTGTTGTTTTTAGGATTTCAAAAAGAAAAACACCGAGCACATGCGTCCTGAAGTCGTAGCTCTTCTGCGGAGCAGCAAGCGCTCCTTCTTGCTTGACTTGGTTGCATCCAACCCTGAAGCTTTGTTCAGATGGAGCATCCTCCGAGCGACCATCCGCATCATCTCAGTCTTCAAAAAACTCCTAAAGCAGCGGACTGAACAGAGTAAAGAGTCTTTTTCATTTGTTGGGCTGTACTGAATTTTCTAAGTGACTTAATTAGCATATGCTCTGCATATCTTGCATTTTGTGTAAAATAATTTAAATTATTGTTCAATTTTTATCTCAGCTACTCCAAAACAAACCCCACGCACGCCACTCTCAGCCTTAAAAAGGCGCAGCAGTTATCTGGAGAGGCTGTCTGGGTAATTATTACTACTTATAATAATTAGGGTGGACATACTTTGGCCTACAGTAATAACCTTTCCTCTTTTTTCTTCCCACAGTCGCTTTACTCTGGAGTTCTCCTTTGATCGCACTGATGAACAATCACTCGATATATTTGAGGACATTTTTGTCAATTATGAAGAGAAAAAGTGAACAGACAATATGTTGTTAGCTTCATAACTCTGAAAATGTTTATCTGAATGTTTTAACCTAATATTTCCATATTTTTTCTGCAGGAAAAACAGAGGTAGTCGACACAAGCAGATCATTCCAAAGGTAAAAAGTAGCCAAACTAATAAACTGAAACCTTCATTCTGCCGTGTTTTGCAATTCATACTAATAAAACACATTTTTAATGTTATAGCCACTAACTTAATGTCATGTCTTTGGATCTTTAAGTTGACAAACAGATAAAGTGACACTTATCAGGAAATTTAAAGAAAAATTATTAAAAATAAATGGATGCATTTTTTGCCCACTTTATTTTGAAGGAGCTGCAGAAATCCATAATTCAGAAATAATCATCTTTAATTGGAAATCTGTTAGAGATGAATTATTAATAATCTGTCCTAAAATAAAATCTAATCTGTGTTGTGCAATACTAAAACGTCATGTCATCCTGAATATACCATTCCCATGATAAAGCATGGTGATGGCAGGATAATGCTGTGGAATCCCTTCCGTTGGCAGCTGATGGAAACGGAACGGATTGTTTGTTTTAAATATAAATATTGGGTACAGACTTTCAAAATGGACCCAAAAACTTCAGCTGTTGTTCAGCTGAAAACTGAAATCGGTGGAGATAAATGCAAATTGAATATATTTTTATTTATATATTTTTGCAAAAGGAAAAGAAAGGAAACCCAGGTTCTATGTCATCCCACTTCACAGTCATGCCACTTGGTGTTGTTCTGTCAGATAAAATCTCAATAAAATATATTTACATCATTGGACTTTGTGGTTTAAAACTGTGAATAAGATCAACAGTTGTGAAAACATCTGCACCTTGCTACACATGTAAATATTAAGATCTCGTCGTGTTTATCCTCATTATCTTATTTTGTCTTTCATCAACCAGAACCTCATGAATTTGACTTCACTCCGTCACATCGTTGGTCTGATGAAGCACGACAGAACGAGCAAATCCGTCTTCCACCCTAACCGGCGAGCAGATCCACCCACAGTTGGCGCTCAGTTTCAGGTTTTTCTTCCCTGCAATTCTGTGAAACAGTATTATTAAATAGGATGATGGGTGTTTTCACTCTTGATCATTTTAGTTTGAGACCTAAAACCATGTTTTCTCACTGCGTATATTAATCTTACAGACCTCGTTCGGAAAGCTGATCGAGACGATTGAGAAAGCGGAGCCTTTCTTCATTTTCTGTCTTCGCTCTAATGCTGGAAAGGTGACGACATCTGTTTGTTTTCAACTGCAGATTTTTTTCTTTTTGTAATCAGGACAGATGATGACTAAGCATCTCGTCTTGATTTTATAGAAACAGCTGCACTTTGATGATGAAGTGGTGCTAAATCAAATCAAGTACACTGGCATACTGCAGATGATTCGCATGCAGAAGTCAAGCTACAAAGCGAAATACACATTTAAGGTAGGTGAGATTAATTTAAAACAATTTATGTACAGCACAGTCTTCATTTATTGGCCTGTCTGATAAAAATGTTTAAACATTCTTTGAATAAATGGAGCATTTTAGAGTTTAGAAAATAATCAGTATTTGACTACATTTATTTTGTGTGCACTTTAAAAGCCTCATATCTTACCAAATATTTGTGATCTATTTTGCCTTAGTATTCATAAAATAAGACACTAATTTACAAGTAACTTTTTAAGCAAGATATTGGAGCTTGTTTTAAGTCAATAATTTTTAATATTGACAAAAATTACTAGTTCACTTATAACATGGCGCACAAAAATTATCATAAAGGAATTATTTACAGTTTTAACAACAGGGCAGCCACTTCTAAGACTTTCTACACGTTGACTAATAAATATGAAGGAAGATGATTTTCTGAACTCTCCTATAATTTTTTCCCTGTTAACATCCCAGGAATTTGTTAAGAAGTTCGGGATTTTGCTTCCAAAAGGAACGACTGGATCCCCACAGGACATAACTGAACTGTTTGAGAAGCTGGGACTGGAAAAGAGCACCTACCAGATAGGAAGAACTAAAGTATATAACAATGCTTTCTTTCATTTTCTTCTCAAGATGATTGCATTTACCCAAACTTTCCATCTTTGTTTTTTTAGATATTCATTTAATTGATTTGAACACTTGAAATAATCTTTTTGTTTTATCATAAAAATGTATCTTCGGGTGCAGAAACACATGAAAATCAGTTGGAAATAACGCAAAAGCAAAGGGTTAGCTTTAGCTAAAACATGACCTGACTCCACTTGACTTAGTCCTGCCTTCAATCTGCTCAGGTTTTTCTGAAAGAAAAGGAGCGTCAGCTACTCCAGAGCACTCTGAACGAAGAAGTGATGCAACGGATCGTCACCCTGCAGCGCTGGTTCCGCGCCTGTCTCATAAGGAAGCACTTTCTGCAAAAGAAGGATGCCACCATGATCATCCAGGTACAGCTGCTTTTTTACAGAAACGACAAAACACCTAGGCTTATTGTAAATGCAAAGTTATTCATATTAATTGAACCTATATAACCAAAAACTGACAGCAGCTAGGTTAGGGATAACAATGTGGAAAAGTTTAAAGAATTGGGATGTAAAATGTCAACTGAAAACTAACACTGTGAACCTAGATATGTTATTTCAAGAGATATTATTGTAGAAAATAAATGTTGCTCTGTATCTGTTACCTCTACAATTATAATAAAAAATTGACAAAACTACCTCAGTTCTGAATTTAGACGCAAATATAAGTCCGTATAAACAAAATTAAGAAGATATCAAGGAACAAACGAAGAGTTTGACCACAGAATAAACATCAAACTGTATTTGTTGTTGTTTTAGAGGAGCTGGCGGGAGTTTTTTGAGAAGCAAAACCGAGCTGCGACAGTAATCCAGACGGCGTGGCGTGTTTCCCAGTCACTAGACCTCGAGGACCATGGAAAAGTGCATTGCAATTCTCAAGATGGAGCCAGGTACTATGACTAGGAGGCTATATATTTAGTCTTTACAGTCATATTTTTGGAAGGATAATTTCTGGTAATTTAAATGTTTTTGGTTTACTGTTAATACAAACATTTTCTCTTAAAATCAGAGTAATAATCAAGGTGATTTTCTGTTTTGTTTTTAAATGAATAAGATTTTAATGCAGATGTAGAATACACTGTTGAAAAGTGTATTCTGTATCTTATGGCTGTCTTTTCACGAATTACTGCACCAGTGCAGCAAAGCAAATCAGCCTGAGCTGCATTGTTTGGTCTGGTGTCTATAATTTTTCTTTTGCCAATACTCCTTTGATTCTGTCTGAGATTTATAGGTCAGGGTAATTTGCTGCCCTATTGAGCACAATAATAATAATAATACTAATAATAACGGTAATATGGTCATTCAAGTAGATTTTCATAGTTTTGGTGGAGTTCATAGTTTCTCTGGAGTTTGCCAACAGAATAAAGCATAAAGTGCCAGTAGGCAGGTATTAGTGAGAAAGATTTCAAAATATTGGCAGTTAATATCAGTTAATATCCATAATTATTGATTTTTTTGTTGTTGTTTTAAATATCTGAAGTGAGCTGACCTTTCCTGTTTTATTCAGTTTTTACTTCAAGTCGTTTTTTTTATTATTATTGTTACTATTTTAAAGCAATTTTGAGTCATGGTGGTAAAAACTTAAATTGCTACTGCGCAAGTCACTCCACAGGTTGTTACTAGGTAACCAGAGAATGAGTGAGTGAGTGAGTTGCTAGGTAACCAGAGAATGAGTGAATGAGTGAGTGAGTTGCTAGGTAACCAGAGAATGAGTGAGTGAGTTGCTAGGTAACCAGAGAACGAATGAGTGAGTGAGTTGATCCGGCCAACTTTGGATAGCTTGCCTTCGCTTCAAAAACACAAAATCGTACCAAGTATTTTTATCCAGTTTCCAGTGCAAATATTTTAGTACACTTGAAATGAGATAAAACTAATTTTCAAGTAACTTTTCAACAAAAAATATGAGCTTTAGTTTCATCTTATTTAATGTATACTAAAAATATTTGCGCAGAAAATATTACTTGTTAACTGATGAAAAGCTTGCGTCAAACTTCAGTCACATGGGTCTGATGTGATGCTTCTTGCCAACAGTTCAATGAAACATACTTTGAAGAAGCAGCAAAACTTGGATCATGTCACCAAGATCCAATCGCCAGATCCAGCCAACAACCAGGCCGCAAAGGAGGACGAGAGCAAAGCGTCTGCTCCCCAGCTGAACAGACCCTTCTCCGTCCCCCTGGACCTCAAAGCTGGCAGCAGTAACCCTTCTCTGTGCAAGCAATACATTGCCAATGACAGGATGAGGGAGAAATCCAGTGAAGATGATCTGACAGACACATCAAGTCCTGAAGTACATCGAAGGAGAGATAGGAGAGATGACATGTTGTAAGTTTTATTGTGTTCTTTATTGTGTCCCTTCTCTACATAATATTTCTGCTACAATAGAGATGCTATTTCCTATCTTGGCATTTATGCTCCAATTTTGACAAGTACATCAATGTTCACAACTTAACATGAGGGAGAAAAAAGTAGATTTTGTTTTACATTGTGTCTTTGAGGTACACGTCACTTTATATGCTTTCCAGGGTTGAGTAGTGTTTGTGTTTTGGGATCAAAGATGTGGAAAAATGCATCGTTTTGCTCAGAGGAAGGAAGAGTACACAGAAAATGTACTCAAGTAAGAGTGGCACTACGTTATAATATTTTTACTCAAGTAAAATTAAAAAGTAGCCTTCCAAGAAGTTATTCAAGTGAAAGTAAAAAAGTATTTGGTAAAATGTTTACGCGAGTACAGAATAATTGATCATAAAATCAGATTCAATGCCATCAGATAAGCTAAAAATATAAAATTATGCACAAACTTGAAGTCTTTAAGGCTAAAATTAAAGCACTAGTGCAAACAAATTAAATAATTACAAAATAAAAAAGTTTAAATTTTATTTTTTTCAAAATAAAACTTATGAAAGTAGTACTTGTAGTGAGTTGAGCACTTCCAATGACATTATATTGTGTTTTATTCACGTGTCCTCCAACAGGCTTAGCAGATAGAAAACCATTAGAACAACAAAGCCTGTGTACAAACCAAGAAGTCTCCATTAACATAAAGTATAGACTTGTGACTGATGCATTTTTGGTTAAAATATATTCAGTAAAGCTACTCATAATGGATAGAATATTCTGAAATTTTACTCAAGTTGAGCTGTAGTACTCAAGTAAAAGTAAAAAGTGTGATGCAGTAAAACTATTCTTGAAAGTATTGTTTATTTCCCCCCAAAAAGTTACTCTACTGAATGTAATTGAATATGTAGTTAGTTACTACCCACCTCTAATTTTGCTACCTTACTTTTCCTGTGTTGTCACCATTTAATGTTTTTTATTTTGTCACTTGAAAAAAGTTTTTCACTTTTTTTTTTTTTTTGTTTCCTTCTCAAATAAAAATAAAGTCGTAAAGCGGTTTCTGTTGATGAACTGTCGAGCTCCTCTGGCTGCGAAGGTTCCTCCGGTCCCCAAATGGTAAGCTTGGCATCAGTAATACTTCATAATCCAGATCAAATGTCAAGCTTTGGATTTTTTCTGCCTTCTCTTCTGTGTTATTCTTAACATGTTTGTTGGTTTGTAATAGACCTCTCTGTGTTCAGGACGCTACGTTTTGCCATCAAGGCAAACTCCTAAGTGGAGGTTTTAAACATGTAGCGTCATCCCAGTTTGAGCCTTGTCCCTTTCTCTGGCCGTCAGGGAAAGGTTCGTCGCCGCAAGCCGAAAAAACACAAGCGGCGCTTAGCCTACGCCCGCAGCGGTTTGGTGTATAGCTTTGGGGGCTCCAAGGAGAATGAGTTCTGGAACTTTCCACTGCCTCCCATCAGCCCCTCTGTGCCCACCCTGACGGGCTCAGCCAGTGTCATGGATGTCTGGCCCCTCAATTCCCAGGTCAAGGTACTGACCTAAAGGGAAGCTTCACTCCCACCGCTCTCCTCTCAACAACGACCCTGCATGCAAATGTCCCATGTGGACTAGCTGGATACCTTGCATTATTCTTGGAGCTCTGTCTTTTACTCAATTGGAAGATGAGCGGCTGCTTTCCAGAACTTTGGAAATGTTGAAGTCCATTTCCTGTGCTCATTTCTGAACTTTTCGTCTTTCTGACTTGAGCACCAGAGTCAACAGGCACAGATTATCTTTTTCTTATTATTAAAATGTGCTTAATAAACATTGATACAACCATTATTTGTTTCAAACAGACTTTAAAAACAGAAAAAAAATTACAAGACAAATGCAATTTTACACAATTTGTTTAAAAAGAAGCTGGCAGAAGATATGATTTTATAATATCAACATTTTAGTCTCCCCACACCAGATAAACCCTTGAATAATTCCCACATTAAATGATGCGTAAACCTCATGTTCTCATTGTTGACAATGCATCTATTTACACATTTATTACAACAACAATAGTTATTTTAGCTATTGAGAAACCCATCCTATATAACATATTTTCTGTTTTTTTAAGCTGGTTTATATTTGTAGTTAATCCATCTACCTCACACATTGATATACAAAACTCTTTTTAGTTGTTCTAATATGTTGTAAATTGTACCCCCCATTTTTCACTGTCACAAAACTGTTTTGGGAATATAATCAAACATTGTTAGATAGGTTTTGCTTTTTCACACTACAAAAACAAAACGTTACTAAGTATTTTTTTTATCTAGCTTCTTTTAAAAGATGTTTTCCCCATGTTGCAAGTGAAATTGTCTGCTAGTACTACTAGCAGACTATTACTTTTAAAATCATTATCAAGGAATTATTCCCTTAATAAAAGCTCCTATATATCTTGCTGAACAGTTTCTTGTAAGTTAGTTTTGTCTAGTTTCAAGTGTTGAGTTATTTGCATGAGAATTGAGACGAAAAATATTTGGTAAGATTTTTGTGTTCTTGCAGTGTGTTAAACTTCTATATGTTTGATTTAATTAAGCTCTTTCAGATATTTTACAGTGATTGCTTATATTTTACTAAGTTAGCTGATATAGTTGCACTGTACCATGCTTGGTCTGTGCTTTGTTTTCAAGCAGCCATATTGTAAAATACAACTAAATCAGTAGTATAAAAGTGAAAAATAGTAAGTATTACTAACCTGTGGTGTAATCTGCTGGTGGGAGGAAACTGTCTTTGCATGACGGATGCAGATGGTGTAGTTCTGTTTTATTTCCTGGTGTTGCGGTTCTGGTGGAGGAGCTGCTGGTAAAAACAGCTGGAGCAACAAAGTGGAGTGGGAGAACATAAACTTCCAGTTGAGAAATGAACGAGAACTGTTTACGTTTTCAGATTGGGATTTTTGTTAATCGCTTCTGTACTTTAATTTGCAGAGCATTTGTGTTCTCTTGTTGCTACAGAGGGGATCAGAACTGGACTGCTCCAGGTACAGCTTTCCAGTCAGATCAGACGAAACCGATCTTCGAGGCTCAAACCAATCACTTACGACTCCTGAGAAGTAAAATCATTTGATACGTTTAATTAGTTCAACATTTTGAGTTAAAAATTATATAATATTTATGTAATGCTGTACAATGTTTACTCAGATGATATTCTTTTGCAGGATTGGGTTTTTTGGTAAACTCCTGGGGAGACGGGCGCACAAATCTTCAAACACTGAATCTCTAGTTGATAAATCTGGTAAATCTGCTTTAAAGCCATACTTTCCCTGGTTGGGCTGGTTGGGCTTTAGTTACTTGTATTTGTACATATATTTTTATTTTTTGTTTGAACACATATCGTCTCATGTCATGTCTCTCATCTGCAGGAATGTCGGCAAGATTCTCCCCACAATCTTCCCAAATGGCTAATTCCAACGAATCGAGGGTCCAGCGAAAATTTCCTTATATCAGTCGAGCCACACGAGCACTTCAGGCGGACGTATCTCTGGACCGCGAGATCACCGATCCCAATGAACTACGAAACCTTGACGAGTTCCTTGGGAATCAGGTGCGATAACCATTTAACAGCGTTGTTTTTGAGACAAATAGATTGAGACCCATTTTGTGCTGCTCTTTGAATTATTCTCCTGCATCCCGGCGTCTTGTAATTTATAATTTCATCACTTTGTCAGGTGAATGAGCTGCAATCCAGAGTGGCAGAACTGTCCATAACGGAGGGTATTTTCCTCTCTGCCACCATGGAGTTCAGGGAAACCATCAAAAGCATGTATTCCTTACAAGTAAGTCACTTTTAAGACTTTCTCATTGTTTCTTTTTTTTTTTTATTTGACAAATTCTTATGAATTTTTTGACCCATAGAAGCCCAAAGTTTGCTACAAAAGCCTAATGAGTGGCTACCGTAACAAAGTGAGTGCATTGGCAGGACGAAGTAAGAAATCAGAGGTCTCTCTGGTGGTTAACCTGTTCCAGTCTGTGCTGGACGGATTCATCAGAGCCGAAAAAAAGCGAGAGGAGTCCGAACCAGCCAAGGTAGATATTATGTTTTCAAAAGGGAGAGAGTAAAGATCTTTTTTTAGTTCTGTCAGAGAATTAACTTCTCCCTTCATTTAGACCACCAGGACGGGAAAGAAGAGGAAGACAAATGAGAAATGTGTAAGTTAAACATCTTCTCTGAGTTTATTCCTAATGAACATATTGGATAAACTGAAGTTGTTTCTGTAATTTTTGTCTGCAGATTGCCAATCCTCTGGATCATCTGTTCAGCACATACCAGGTGAACATCATGCAGTCGTGTGACTTGTGTAATTCCTTCATCTGGGGAATGGAGAAAGCTTGCATGTGCAGCGGTGAGTAGACGGTCTGTGAATAACATCTCTGTTATTTTTTAAAGCATGCAAACATGTTTAAATGTCCTAATGGTAGAACTGGTTAAATGTGAATAAAGTTCTAAAATAAGTTAATGTTTTATTGCTATTTTGTGATCTCACACTGGAACATTTTTGAAGAATTAACATTTGAGTACATTTATTGCTGTGAGGGGAAAACACAACAAGAAATGTTAATACTACTTGAGAAATTAATATTAGCAAAATTATTGGTACCATAATTCATGGAGCTCCTATAAATTCATATAAAAGTCAAGAATCTATACTTTTTGTTTAATTAGTTTGTTTTCTTTAGTATTTTTTAAGTTGATGTGATTGTATCAAAACGTCCAATTGGAATTCAATGATTTGCAGTTTTTCTGGATCATGAATATCTGTTTGATGCTGTTCAAAATGGGAAAGGTGAGAGAGCATGCAGTGCAAGTTGGAAAAATGTTACCACCATGTGGAGTGAAGGGGATGGTAAAAACAGTAACCCAGTGGATTTATTGTAAATTACCACCACCAACTGGTGAAATATTGTGAATTATCTCAGTTTGCATAAACTTTTCTTCAATGTTAATAAAGCACTCCATATTGAGCAGAAGTGATGAGACTAATGAACACACAACAAGCATGAATACTAAAAAAGTTAATTATGACAGAGGATGTGTGATGCTGTGGGCTTTGGGAAGTTTGTTAGAGTGAAATATGAGAACATTTTCAATAAAACTTTATTGTGTCTTTCAGCAGGTTAATGGTCTAAGGTTATCCAAAGGCTAAATTATTACAGAAATGGTTCACTGGATATAAAGTCAACAAACATTTCTGGTTGTTTCAATTCATGGACTTAATTCTGAAGAAAACACATGAGATGAATGGAAAAGAAAAAAAGAGAAGAAATGACTTTTATGTGAAGCGAAATGGTCAAAGATCCCTTCCTGTCTTAGCAACAGCTGGGTTGATAAATGTGACTTTCTATTAATCAATGTTTTGGCTTCAGATAATTTTTCCCACTTAGCAAATTGGAATTGTAAAAATGTCTGTGTGGACTTGCACTCCAGTGAGAACATACTGTTTATATTTATATGTAAAACTAAAGGTCATCTGTTTCCATTTCAGCCTGCAAGTTCATTTGTCACAAGAAATGTCTAGACAAAATCATCACAGACTGCTCAACACGGCGTTCCAGGCTGGTGAGAGCTCAACCTTTTTAAAAACCTATTAAATCTTTATCAGTAGATTATTTTCCTTTTCGCTAATCTTCTTGTTAGTGTAACTCCTCTTGGTCTTTATTTGTGTCAGGATGACAGTGTGCCAGGCTCTCTACACTTTGGAGTTCAAGTGTGCGTCCTGACCAATAAAACCAACCCAGTGCCCAAAGTGGTCGAGTTGTTGTTGATGCATGTGGAGATGAACGGCCTCTACACTGAGGGAATTTACCGAAAGTCTGGAGCAGCCTGCCGAGCGAAGGAGCTTCACCAGATCCTGCAGACTGGTGAGAATGTTTCTGCACACAAGCTTTTTAACTCTTAGTATTTTTTCTCTTTTAAATAAAAAACTTATCTATTAAAATGCATATTTATGCAGTATATTAATAAAAACTGTTACATATTGACATATGATTTATGCATTTATATAATTATTAATAATAATAAAAATCATATGCATTTGGGATTTTTAAACTTGAAAATTAATTGTGGTTTCACCATTTAAAATGAAATACTACTACTAATAACAATAACAATAATAATAATAACATTTGTTATAAAAATATAATTTTTGAATTTTGCTAAAGTAACTAAATTTTCATTTTTCTTTTTTTTATTATTATTCTTATTATTGATTTTTCTCTATATTTGTCTATGTGTAGTAAAATGTTGTAAAGTGAAATATTTAAGTTTTGTCTCTGATCTTGCTGCATCAGATCCTGAAAATGCCTGTTTGGATAATTACCCCATCCACACCATCACCGGCCTCGTCAAACGCTGGTTTAGAGAGCTTCCTGAACCCCTCATGACATTCTCTCTCTACAACGACTTCCTGCATGCTGCCGGTGACGGAGCATTTGGATATTTTACATTTTGTTTGTAAGCTTGTTTTGCAATTCAGATAATTTGAAAATCCTTTAACTCCCCTTTTCCTCAACATGCAGAGCTGCCAGAGAATCAAGAGAGAATAAGGGCTGTATACCAAAAAGTCGATGAGCTTCCTCCTGCTAATTTCAACACTTTGGAGCGGCTCATTTTCCACCTTGTCAAGTAAGAAGATGCTTGCTTCTCATTTAAATGATTAAAGCCTTAGATTTTAACTAGTTTCTGTTTCAGGGTTGCAAAGGAAGAGAAGCACAATAAGATGTCACCAACATCTCTGGCTATTGTGTTTGCTCCCTGCATTCTGCGCTCAGCTGATATGAGTGACCCCTTGCTTTGTATGAAGGATGTGCCCAAAAGTACCCTGTAAGTAACCATACTAGCACAGTACTGTAACCTTTCATCCTGCTATGGTTTATTTAATAACTTACAATAAGTGTTTGTAAAACGTAATGTTTCATGCAGGTGTTTGGAGATTCTGATCAATGAGCAGCTAAGGCGCTACAATGAGAAGATGCAGGACATCCAGGAGCTGGAGTATGCCGAGGCCCAGGCTGTCCATAAACTCAAACTCAGGAGACAAAACACAGTGAGACCACACAGGCACAACCAAAAAGGCCTCTGATTCACACAATCAAAAAATATGCATTCCATCATTAGCATCACTTTTTCTGAATGACTACAAAACTACCACTTGCTGACAAAGACATTGTTCCCATCGTTGTCTAGATCTGTGACAAGCCTTCAGAAATTTAAATTTTAAGGGGGCAGTGTTTTGAAAAATCCACTTTTTAAGCTTTGCATTATGTTATAATGTTATCTCATTTAAAAAGTATGTAGAATCTTATATGCACGTTTGAGAAACTTTTCTTTCTCCATGGCAACCATTCAACTGTGCAAAACACCTGGATGGCCCTAGCTCCGCCTTTGGAGTACAGCTCCACCTTGGAGCATCAATTTTCAAGCTTTCATAGAGAAGCTCCCCCACCCCAAGCTCCTTCAGACTAGCAGCAGCAATTAGCAAACACCTGGCTTAACTGTTCATGAGCTGATCTCATTATAAAGATGTTAAAGGAAGAGGAGCAATGTTGTGATGACTTCCTGAAGGCAGAGTTTCAGAAAGAGCTTTTAAAAGAGTTTTAAAGAGACAGAGGTTCAATTTCAAGCCGTTAAATTCCAAAGTAAAATTTTGATTAAGTGTGATACATGTAGCTTTGCTTTTACGTGTTTACTGGATTGTATAGAAAATACATAGTACTGCCCCTTTTATTTATTTGGGAGGGACAGTTCACAATAATAAACATTTCTGTAAATGTTGCTAGAATTAGTCGAGATGCTATTTTTCATCTGTTGTCCCTGAAGATTCAACCCACAGCTGAGCAGAACGTCCCACACCAACTGCAGTCTGATGAGTCCGACAGCACCATCATTGAAAGAATCAAATCAATCAAGCAAGAGAAGTAAACAAACACTGTCATTTTTTTTATTCCTTTAACTGCTGAAATAAAAAGATTTGATGCAACATTGTGTGGTTGTTTTCTCTTCCTTGCAGGTTGGACTTAGTGATCAGGTTACCTGAACTGGAGCAGGAACACTCGGACTCTGAAAACGCGGACTCTGCATCATCAGTGAGCTCAGACAGCCTGGACCAGCTGGGCGGCGTTGACTCGGAAGGTCAGTAGAAAGGTAAAGTACGTCAACCTTCTTCTGGGTTTGAACAAAAACTTGCTAAAGTGTCCATCCTCCTTTCATCTTTTTGGCTTTTTCCATGTTAAAACAGCAAATTTAAGGTGATAAAGACATACATACATATTTGGAACAAAAGAAAAATATAAAAAAGTTTTAAAACAAAAAATGTAAAAGCATGGCATACATTTGTGTCCTGTCTCCTTATCCTTTGTCCTGATGGCCAAAATTCCTTGATCAAATTTTGAATGTATTTAGATTAAATTACCTGAATTTATATGGGAAAGTAATTAATTACATTCTCCAGAATTTATTCAGAGTAAAATCACTGACCTGTGTAGTTGTCACATTTTTCTAAAAAAGAAAAAAGAAAAACTCAGAAGAAGTTGTACTTCCAGAAATGCCAGAAATTGTACACAAGTAAAGCTCTTTTGATGTGGGATTAATTTTACCACAACCTATTTGTAATAATTACAGAGAATGTTTGTGTTGTTAATCCAGTGCAAATCGGTTATGTCAGTAATTTGAAAAGTAAAAATTTTCCTGCAAATTATCCATCCATCCATCCATCCATCCATCCATCCATCCATCCATCCATCCATCCATCCATCCATCCATCCATCCATCCATCCATCCAATCCATCCATCCCATCCATCCATCCATCCATTCATCCATCCATCCATCCATCCATCCATCCATCCATCCATCCATCCATCCATCCATCCATCCATCCATCCATCCATCCATCCATCCAAACTCCTGTGATAAAACTAATTCCAAGCGAACAGGCATCTCTGTGATTTGGACAGAAATGAGTGTGATCCAAACTTCAGTTATCCTGTGTGAAATATTATTATTTCACAATATTAAGTATCTGTGTAGTTACACAATTAGTCCTGGAAGTCTGTTTTCATGACTTGATTAAATGAAACCACTTAGTACTCACCTTGGCACATGGTCACATTTTTTCCACTTCCACCATTGATAACATAGCAAGCCATTAATTGTGATGAACACATTTGCCTTCAGGCTAAAAGAAAATGTTCCAAGAGAAGAGTGGAAAATTTTTGTTTGGTCACAGTGACCAAACACAGGCGTTCAACTCATTCTCCAGTTCCTTTCTTTACGACTAATTCTGACCAATACCCTCTAAAGGTATTGGGTTTAATTTTTGCTCAGTGGTGTGTTGAAATATCCGGTGTATCATCATGCTACGTCACTGAGCTACACAGGATGTGAAAGAAGAAAGAGGTTAATACAGAGGGATGTTAGAATTTTAGCATATCGACTTCACACCCCATGTATCCCAACAGTTTTGCTTAATTTGTTGGAACAAAAACGACTTCTTGTTTACTGTTTCTATAAATAACTACAGTCACATCAGATCAGGAAGTTTCTCATTACTACACACGTCAAAAAATGTTTTCACTGAAGCCGCATCTCTGTTACCAGGAAAGATGACGAAGCTTTCGAGAGCGCTGAGACCGAAATGCCCAGCTAAACCTGCAGACGTGGCGCAGACAGTCAGGAGTCGCACTGCTCCAGACTCTCCCTCCTCAGACGACAAGCAGCAGCAGCTCACCAGCAAGACCTTTAATGGGAGCTTTGATGACCTGGACATCCCTTACATCGATGACGTTGAAGATTGAAGCTGACGCTAATTCCACACGTTCTGATAATCTGAACACCTGAACGCACTTTGTTTGACAGACTCTATTTGTCATTGCTGCTGAGAAGGACATCACGCTGACCTGCTCTATCAGGGTTTTGATGAGACATGCTCAGAACTATTTCTGATCTTTATATGGAGATTCTGCTGATTCCATCACTTTACAGAACATTTTGTAAAGGAGCTGAGGGATTTGGACCAGTTCTGTGTAACAAACTGTTGAATAGGGTTGGCGCTGTTGAATCTGAATTCCCTTTTTCTTTTCTCTTTTTTGGTGGTTGTTTCGTTTGTAATTAAAAAAATAACGTAGTAACTTTTCTGTAGATGCGCTAACATTGTACTCATATTCCGACACTGTGATCAAGAATCTCACTGGAAAACCATGTATTGTCTTTTTTCTTTACTTTTTTAGTAGTTTTAGTTTAATCTGAAACTTTTTGTAAAATAAATTCTGTCTTTTTTGAACTGTGCTTTTTGCCATGGCAAAACAAGTAATAATTTTTTCTCTCTTTTTTTGTTAAATGTGTGTACATTTTGAAAAGAGCTGGTGTTGTCTATTTGGTTGCCATATTATCATCTGAAACACATATATAACTTACAGATGTTAGGAGTGACCAAAACTGCCAGAACTAAATGTTTAGAAATACATATATGTCTTAAAATTAAGCCAAGGAACAATGTGAAACTAAATTAATAAAATGTAATAAGATTGAAAATGAAATTACAATTTTATAATAAATAAATCACACATTTATCAGCCAAAAATTAAGTATAAATATTAATTTTGCCACATAACAATTGCTGACTTTGTGACTTGCAAATATTTTTTCTGTTTTCACAGTAAACATTTAAGACATATTTTGCTGACTTGACAATGTCCAGTAGACAGTGACTGACAACTTCCACAAGGATATTAATGAATGAAAAGTTGAAGGGAAGAAAAACGTGGTGGAAAATGTTGCATCCTTTAAAAGATTTAAAAGCAAATCCTATTCAAGAGTTTCATATACTGTGGTTAGTCGGTGCTTCTTTTCAACTGAGAGTAGTTTTTAGCATTTTATTTGGAAATCGAGGTACCAGAGTGGAGGAAATGCGCTATTTGACTGTCATGCGTGTTTAAGTTTCACTTTTCAATTAAATAGATAAATTAAGCTTTTAATTGAATGTATGTCATATGCATGACATACATGCATGCATATGTGTTCACAGGCATGACTTTATGTCGAACCATGTTACATGTTGTCTCTTTTGACGGTGAATGTTTCCTCACTTCTTGGAAATGACCAAACATCTTGATTGCCTTCTTTATAAACACAGGGGATCACCAAATATGGCATTTCCTCTTTGTTACCCGCGGGCTGATTCCCACGAATGGGAGGGCCGCAGCATCAACTTTTTCTAAGCCAATCAGATGCAAAGTTGTATCGCCTTTCTGGTCGCCAGCCAATAACGCGGTAGTATTTCGCAGCGAGGGGTGGGGCTAAAATAATGGTACAGGAAGACGGACTGAAGTGAGGTGGGGATGAGAAATCATCATTTAGTTAGCTCGCTGCTAGCTGCCTATAGTTGAAGTGTAATGAGCTTAGTAGCCCAAATTTAGAATATTAGTTTGCTTTTGGTTGGGACAACGACGACCCTTTGACATCAAGAATGGACATAAGTTAACAATGACGGGGGAGAAAAAGAAGAAGAAGCGGCTGAACCGCAGTATTCTTCTAGCAAAGAAAATTATAATAAAAGATGGAGGAAGTGTGAGTTAAATATTTATTTATCTTCGTTAACTTAGCTTACTATTTAATACAGTAGCTCTTGACTGTTTGTGTAGGCCGAAGCCGTGTGTAGCTATTGTAAACACAGCAGGGCTGAAGTTGTTTATGGCTGTCTGTTGAATATGATGTTGACCGTTAAACGCTGTCTGGCTGTTGGAGGCACCGCTGAGCTAAGTGGCTAACTGTAACACAGCGGCCTGCTAGTGGCTTACACGTCAGCTCAGGTAACGCTAGCTAGCTAATGTCAACAACACCGATGTTTCTTCTTAAATTAGTTATTTTGTTACCTGGAATCGTTGCATTCTTTCTCCAACACATTCATCTGAAACCTACTGAGTTCTTTGTAAAGTACATGACTTCTCTATAAGTCAGCAAGCCCAACATTTGCTTCAAGTCTTAAATTCGCCTTAGCTGCTTTATATTGACTCTTTTTGCAATTAAAGTGACATCTGCGTTGTTTGATAAAACTTTTTTTGTTGTTGAGATTTTGTATCAGAGTAGGAAAAGCTCAGAGTTATACCTGCTTGAAGGAACAGCTGAACAACTCGTACAACATTGCAGAGTAACAAGTTTGATTCCACCTGCCATTCTCAACACACACTCTCCAGTCACATAATGTTAGTGAATGCTATGATTAGAAATTAGAAATGCACCAATTTGATTTTTATAAAGCTCTTACCTGCTGGTACCAATTCTTGAGCACCAAAACACATTTTTACTTTCTAGAAAACATTAAAAATAAACTGTATTAAGAATGAAGTGTTTATATCAAAATGGAATGAGGATTTCTCAAAAACAGCAAAGAGTCACAGGGCTTTCTCTTTCTGCATCATTGACAATCCTCCAAGTTATAAGACGTATAGCATCTGGAACTTCAATCTAATTAAAAGTATTATGGAAAGGCTTGATTCATTAATTTACTCTCATCACACAGGATCCTCAAGAAACCTTTCTGTTGTGGAGTTATCATTAGTTATTTCCACTAGCACCAGAGGTCAGATCACATTGGCTTAAGAGAAGGTTACACAGCTCTGCAACTCCACAAAATTTATTTCTATTTTAAAACAAAAACAGCACAATTAGAGCTACAATGTTGCACGTTATTTGGTAGAACTGCAGATATTGCAGTTACCAGTAACATTTGTAAAGATCATTCTCTCATTTATTTTCCCGACAGTTAGTAAATACTAGTAGATGGTTTCCTTTGAAATAGCTTTTTCTTAATAACTTGTTGAACGAATTATAATCAAAATGGCTAAACTTGAGTCGTCTTCTGAATCCACAACTTCGTTGTGGCTTAAGAAGAAGAAGAAAAGAAATCTTTTCATAATCACTGATTATGGCCAGAGAAACCAGTCAGAGTGACAGCCCATCAAAACGACTAAATGTCTAGTACACATATCTGATAATACTGCAGTGGCTTTCATATATAATAACAAATTACATTTTATTCCTACTTTTATTCCACTTGTTTTAGTTATGGATACCATTTAGAGAAGCTATTCTGCCCTAAATGTTACACAAATATAACAAATTGCTGGTGAATTATTTGGATTTTCTGCTTGGGTTGAGTTTGCAGTCAACTATAGCCAACATGCAGCTTATAGATCCTGGCTTTAGATTTGAATGCAGAAGATGGGTGGAGCTCCTTCGATCTCCACATCACAATCAGTTGAGTGTTTTGTAACTGTAAATATTTAAATGCAGCTGAATTTGTGATTCTTGAAATTATGTTTGTAATGTTTCATCCAACTGACCAGCAGTCTGCAGGAAAGGGATTCTATGCTCCAAACACACAAAAGAGAACTCTGTTTTCAGTTTCTCATGAGAAACAATTTTAAACAGCAGCTTTTAAAACTTATTCCTGTAATTGTCCCATGTGTGGCTTATTGGCGCCATTTGTATACTTGATGTTTTGGTTACAGTTCTGGGTTAAAACTGCGGATTAAAAGTTTGCAATTTGCTCGTCTTGGAGTAAATGAATTATGTTCTATCCAAAGCTTTTGGAAAAGTGTGAGCAATGTGGGATTAGTTATAAATGGAGTGATGCATCACTGTTATGCAATCAGTTAAAAGTCAAACTTACTGAGAAACTATACGAAGGGGGAGTTGCAAACATAGACTAAAAGGGAAACCACAAACATTTAATTTTCTTCAGTTCAGTTCTGGTCATCCGCTTTGCACTCTTCCGACATACGTAGCTCTTCTACTATGATTGTTGTTGCTCCAGATCTGATCTGACCACTCTGACATCATGATTTCACCTCCAACAGCCAGATTTTCCTCCATCTCCTCATCCAGCCACAGCAAATTGTGCATTGAGAGCTCATGAGTCAATAGCATTGAGTGATATCTTAATGTATTGCTTGGCGTCAGTTTCATTTAGAGGAAGTTGCGTCGTGTGTGAATCAGTTAAATCTAGTTCCTCATTTTCTGCAAGTCGAGTCGCCATAATAACCTGAAATAAAAGGAGTTATCAAGGGGAAGATATGTACCCCAAGCAGTAGTCTGCACTGGAAACAAAACTGATTAACTCAATAATAGCATCTAATGGTTTGCTGCACAGCATCTGTTCTCTGGCTCCAGCATCGCTTTGTCACTTCAAAAATTCACTTTGGAGTGATGGGACTTTCCCACAAGAGAGTTGGTTTTATTAGACATAATAAGAATGTCTATTCATGTTTCTCTGATTACAGAGGTGTCTGTTTTTTAGAATGACCTACAAATGTGCCTCTGCAGAGCATTGCACTACTTTGACTCCACCTGGATTACAGATGTTTTTGTTTTCTTTTTTTAATTCATCATTCTCCATTAAGAGATCTTTTGTGGTTTCAAGTTTGTCATAACTACTTAGTTTGTAGTGTATGCAGAAAAATCCAGTCATCTTCCCACAATTTATTGTTTTTCTCTTTCTACCAGAAACTTCATGAAAAATACCTTGTCTGGTGTTTTGGTCTCAACTAGCCCCTGTTTTCAACGGACAATTTTATTAACAGAAACTTCATAATTCATTTAATTTGTTTTAGTTTATCTATTTTGGATATTTAAAATGTCTTCCAGTGTTAAATGTTCATTAGAATTTAATGTTTATTAATCTTTGAGCCTTAGCATTATATTACTTAAAAATGGTCTCAAACAACAATATTATTGTCTATCGCAATAACTTCTGGGACAATTTATTGTCCAGTGAAATTTGTTATTGTGACAACAAAACAACCTTAAAACACTTGAGATCACAATCTAGACTTAACATATTTATCCAAATATTTCTCGTTAGCATTCATATCTTTCACAGGTTCTCATGTGATCGTATAGTTTTATAATTCAACAGTTTCTGACATAACATTTATGTTTCCATCATCAAACACTCTGAAGCTGTGAGCTTGATGTTACTTGTCAGCTAACCGCCTCTGTGTTTGTCTGTCTCCCTTTAGCCTCAGGGAATCGGTGAGCCCAGCGTCTACCATGCTGTGGTCGTCATTTTCCTGGAGTTTTTTGCATGGGGTCTTCTCACCACCCCGATGCTCACGGTAAGCCACATCCAGCTGTTATGTGAACTAGCATAGTATTGTGTTGTATTTGTACTAATTTATTTTAAACAAGTTTTTAAAAACAAAGAAAACAAGTAATGAGGACAAGAGAAAATGGGAAAAATTTTCAAGAACAGTATTTCACACCATACAGTGAACAGTTTTTCATTG